GAATAGAATAGAATAGAATAGAATAGAATAGAATAGAATAGAATAGAATAGAATAGAATAGAATTCTTTATTGGCCAAGTGTGATTGGACACACAAGGAATTTGTCTTGGTGCAAATACTCTCAGTATACATAAAATAAAAGATACATTCGTAAAGAGTCAAGAATCATAAGATACAACACTTAATAATAGTCATAGGGCACAATAAGCAATCAAATCATACTAGGAAACAGTCAATATAAATAGTAAGGATACAAGCAACAAGGTTACTGTCATACAGTCACAAGTGGGAGGGGATGAGTGATGAGTGATGAGAAAATTAACAGTAATAGTAGTGCAGACTTTCTAATAGTTGAATAGTGTTGAGGGAATTATTTGTTTAGCAGAGTGATGGCTTTCGGGGAAAAACTGTTCTTGTGTCTAGTTGTTCTGGTGTGCAGTGCTCTATAGCGTCATTTTAAGGAAAGGAGTTGAAACAGTTTATGTCCGGGATGTGAAGGGTCTGTAAATATTTTCACAGCCCTCTTTTTGACTCCTGCAGTATACAGGTCCTCGATGGGAGGCAGGTTGGTAGTAATTGTTTTTTGTGCAGTCCTAATTATCCTCCGAAGTCTGTGTCTGCCCTGTTGGGTTGCAGAACCAAATCAGTCAGTTATAGAGGTGCAGATGATTGACTCAGTAAGTAGGACAGGAGTGCGGGTTGTGTGATGTTTTATAAGTTGACATCCACCAGACAAAGAAAATAAAGTTAATAGACAAATGTAAAACGTATGCAAGACAACTTTGGGCTGTTTGTATTCACTCCTGTGAAGACGCAGTTGGAGCCTAAGTTCACATTTTGTGCTGAATCCTAATGAATGGTTGTAAGTCAAGGACTACCTGTAGAACCTCCTTGAAATATTTTGGGCCGCCAAGATGATGAACAAAGATCTTTTTTTGTGTATATTTTCCCCAGGGAGGAATGGGAGCCGCGCTTTTGTCTGATCTGAACAGAATAGAATCTGTGAGTATGCAGAGTGCCCTGCTTATCATTTTCTGTGGTTATTTATTTATAAAATTAAAAGCAGTGGAGTTTGGAGGAACCGAAGGGGGCTGCAAAAGGTAGCAGGGCATGAACATGTGGTCACAACTAACTGATCTAGAAAAATTTATGTGCAGCTTGGAGGCAGAATTGTGGACCTTGTTCATGAGAAAAATGCAGTAGGAAATCATTTATAGAGACATTTAACTTGTTTATTATTTGGTTGAGAACTTATGGAGAGATGGCTTTTCCTAATGAGGAAATAATCTTTTTCAATAATCACCTAAGTTTTCCAAGCAATCATTCTGCATCTCTGGTCTGCTCTTGTTTCCTGTTCTTTAGATTCTGACTACGCTCGTCAATGGTGTATCTAAGCCAGTAACTTGTAAAATCCGAATTTTGTCATCGGTAAGAATATATTACCATATTTCAGATATTACAGGTCTTTTAAAAATACCCACCAGTCCAGTGTTTTGATGCAAAAATACAGTTTTTGCTTTGTTAGCAGCAATTGCACTGAGTGAAAATGAACCAATAAGGGAGATAACGGTAACCACACCTAATGTTGACTTTGGATCTTTCAACTATTCAACTTACAACAGTTCATTTAGTGATCATTCAAAGTTACAACAGCATTGAAGTGAGAAATAGTCCCAACATCTAGACGACATGGCCTTTGAGAGATCAAAAAAAAAAAAAAGTTCACTGCTGCTTATATACCCTTAACTGTGAATAAGATCCATTAAATTGAGAATTGACAAATATTGCTGAGTAGACATGCCTAGGATTGTTCTTTTAAAACTCAGATAAGAGCCCAAATCAGATGTGGCCCCAACTGGTGCAGAAGCCTTTATTGGAGTTCAGGAGATGCTGAAATTAGCCGTTGTGAACTCCATGCATTGAATTGCATGCTTTAGAAGAAAATTTATGTCCTGAACATATCACTCTCAACCTACACAATTTGTTAAACAGGGTTTGTTGGAGTGGTGGTGGCAGGACACAATTACCTGGGTTCCAAAGGCACACTGAACTCAAACTTACCACCCACATTTTATAGCTGGGTTTCCACCCTGATAAAGATTCAGGAAGCAGATGTTGAGAAACTGCCAGTTAGACTGGAGGGAGGGGTCAAACAAGGACCTAGCTTAGAATCGTTGCACGGCACTAAACCTCATAACCATGACTGCCCCCCCTCAATCTATGAAGCCTTATTGAGCCATTTCCAAGGGTAGGCAAACAATCTGATGGGATTCTAGTCAGATAGGTAATAAATAATAAAATTACTACTTGATGGTTCTAGTTGCTTACACCTTGACAGCTATTAAATAAACAGCATCAAGAGGCTGTTACCTGCTTCCTCACCAGATCATAGGAGGACTGTTAGGATGGGGGCTTTCTGATTCTCTTCATAACACACACAGGGACATACCATTTCAAAACTGGAAATTTGTTTGGTGTAATTCTTGCAATCCCATCCCCATAAATTTCACTATGGACTTGCACTTGGAAAAAAAGGAATCGTTTGGGGCTTAATGCAGCTGCCAAGAACCTGACACATATTGTAATGAGTTGGGCAAGTTCAACCCACGAGGGACACTGAATGGCCAACACCCCAAAGCCAAGGACAGCCTTTTGCCTCCCCACAAGAATGTGCATACTTATTGCTTGAAATTTCATCCACATTTAGCTTCAGAAAAGTGAAGTAGCAAACTTGGGCGAGTGTCGAATGTTTTTCCCCTCCCCCCCACATCATTTTCAGGAAGAAAAAACGCTAAGATTGGTGAAGAGGATAGAGCAGGCTGGAGTTGCTGCAATTGCCGTTCATGGAAGGTAAACTAATTCTCCATCTGAAAAGGAAAAAAAAATTCTCGTGAGTCCTATAACATAAAAACTTTTGAGCTGCAATTGGTAGAACAGGCTCTACTGCAAAAAACAAAAAACAAAAAAAAACCCACCATGGTGCCACAGTGGTTAGAATGCAGTATTGCAGGCAAACTCTGCCCACTGTCAGGGGTTCGATCCTGACCAGGCTCAAGGTTGACTCAGCCTTACATCCTTCTGAGGTTGTTAAAATGAGGACCCAGATTGTTGGGGGCAATAATGCTGACTCTGGAAACAGCTTAGAGAGGGTTGTAAAGCACTGTGAAGCGGTATATAAGTCTTAAGTGCTATTACTATTGTCCTCCCGCCTTCTCTCCCTCCCCCTCCCTTTCCTTCACCTCCCTTCCTCCATCCCTTCCTTCCTTCCTTCCTTCCTTTCCTTGGTGTTGGGTTCGATCCTGACCAGCTCAAGGTTGATTCAGCCTTCCATCCTTCTGAGGTTGGTAAAATAAGGACCCGAATTGTTGGGGGAAGTAGGCCGACTCTAAATTGCTTAGACAGGAAGCAGCATACGAAGCAGTATATAAGTCTAAGTGCTATTGCTAATTTCTGACCTGTCTCTTTTGAAGGAAGAAAGAAGAGAGGCCTCAGCACCCTGTCCACTACAACGTGGTCAAAGCCATCTCCGAGGCAGTTTCCATCCCAGTAATAGCCAAGTAGGTAGAACGAATTTGCTCTCAACCAGGAGAGTCCAATCTTGGGGCAAACAAGCTGCATGGATTGACAAAGTCCACTGTGACCATAAATGTTGCCTCCCCTGCAGTTAGCAGAGAGTGGGGTGGTCCTCAAATTTGGAAACTTTGAGACATGGACTTCAACTCCCAGAATTCCTCAGCCAGGAACCTGGGAGTTGAAGTCTACATGTCTTAAAGTTGCCAAGTTTGGAGACCTCTGGCAGAGAGGTTCAGACATCTGCTATACAGGCAGTCCTCGATTTATGACCGCAATTGACCCCAACTTTTCTGTTGTTAAGTGAGACATTCGGTACATGAGTTCTGCCCGATTTTATGACTTTTCTAGCCACTGTTGTTAAGTGAATCGCTGCAGCTGTTAAGTTAGTCACACGGTTGTTTAAATGAATCAGGCGACTCCGGGACGCTGCAACTGTAGCAAATACAAATCGGTTGCCAAGCGTCTGGATTTTGGTCTCGTGACCATGTGGATGCTGCAAAGTTTGCCACTGTGAAATGGTCATAAATCCCTTTTTTTCAGTATCGTAACTTTGAACAGTCACTAAACGAATTGTTGTAAGTCAAGGACTGTGTGATGACCCAAAGGGGCATGGCACAAAGGCAACACAGTCAAATAAGCAAGAAGAGTCCCTTTATTATCTCCAACTTTGCCCCCAATGTCCAGGTTACCTTCGGCTGAAGAAAAATTCTCCCAGGAACAGCCTTTAACTGTAGAAAATTCAGTCCAAAACAAGGTACATACAGACTGTAACTAAAAATCCAAACAAACAAAGCTGCAGTAATTAACTTGACAGGGCATGAGAAGGAATTGCAGACTTGAAAGCATGGCAACACTCACACAGTTGGGAAGACTCCAGGAACACAGATAAGCCACGATGTTACTCGATCAATTCACGATTTGGTCTCAACAACTTGCGGTGCACAGCTTCCCTTTTTAAACACTGTGTTCCCAGCTGCAGCTAATGAAGGGAATCAGGGCCCTTTCCTCCCCCATAAGCCATGCAACTCAGGTTGCTCCCTTCTCCGTTCCACCCTGCGTGTCCTAGGATGAAGAGGGGGTGGGCCTGGGTCTTCCTCTGAATTTCCTCTCCCCTGCTCTACCTGTTCCCTGCTCTGCCCAGCCGGACTGTGCCCTTCCCCAGTTTCTTCCACAGCCAACGGAGCCACATTCCCACTCCCTGTCGGCTGCTCAGCCTCCCCCTCTGAATCAGATTCCGACAGGGGCATGACAGACTGCCTGTACTGGGCTATGAATGCTAACATTTTTTAGAGCAGTGCGTTTCCCAATCTGGGCAGCTTTAAGCTGTGTAGATCTCAACTTCCAGAATTCCTTAGCCATCACACTTAAAGTTGGCAAACACCACTTTAGATGACTGATGGGCAGAATGCCGGTGTAGAGCTTGACCTTCTGAAGTGGTTGGGGTCCACGGTTGAAGGCGTGTCCCATCCTTTCAAAAGTTGAGGACCACTTCTCAGCAGCTGTACTCTTCTGCAGAATGCACATTTAACAAAAGTGGTTTTGCTTTTGAAAAGGCAACTGATTTTTTTTGTTTGTTTGTTTGGGGAAAAACAAGACTTTTCTTATCCTGGAATCTTCATCCGTTGTATGGGATGCTGTGGGAGATGGAAGAAAGTTATTGACAGTTGAAATTAGTTGGTGGGAGGAGGAATGATAGGTTCTGAGAGGATGGTATGTGTGTGTGGGGGGGAGGGGGGAGGCAAAGATTGCGTTTTCTTTGCAGTCAACTGGTCTTAACACTCTCTGAGAGCCGTGGTGGTTACTTGGGGTTTTATCTGTGACCTCGGGGTCACCTGAATCAGAGGTGTGGAATCCCCATGCTGTCAGAACCTATGATTCCCGCTCCCACCAATTAACCTCAACTGTCAATAACTCTCCTTCCATCTCCCGCAGTATCCCATACAACTGATGAAGCTTCCAGGATAGGAAGCAAAAAAATCTTGTTTTTCCTCCAAAAAAAATAAATAAAATAAATCAGTCCAGTTTCCTTTTCAAAATAAAAACCACTTTTGATACAACTATGACCTGGGTGACTGAGAATCTTCATAGACATAACCTCCACCCTGCCATCTGCATCGTGTTCATGCACCACTGCTGGTACTGCAAACTGTTGGGTTTTGCAGCATAGATTCAAATCCAGAAAGCACAGACGGATGCTGATTCAGCAGGATTCTTTAACTTCTTTATATGCATAATAATATAGGAGTAAAATGTACAATACCAATAGTAGATTCTTCCAACGTGGTAGGGAGTTATAGGCAAAAAAACACAAGCAGATGAGAGAACAGCAGAGAAGTTTCAGTTTCAATTCAGCAGTTGCAGACAAGACTGCAGCTTCAGAGCTTAATATAGAGCCCCGCCTAGGTTCCCTCCAGTTTCAGTTTCCAAACAGTCCTCATTGGCTGACTTAGTTGCTCTTCCTATTCATTGGCTGACCTTATTACCATGCCTCTTCCGGTTCATGAATATTCTGACACAAACCCCGTATCCTCCTTATTTCAGTGGAGGATCCCATGATTTCATCAAAGAATATTCTGACCTTCAGATCTTCCAGGAAGCAACCTCGGCATCTTCTGTGATGGTGGCCCGGGCCGCCATGTGGAACCCCTCAGTCTTCAGGAAGGAAGGACTTTTGCCTCTGAAGGACGTCATGCAGGAATATATCAAATATGTATGCATTCTTGATACCAGTCTCGTGTGTGTATGGGGGACTTTAGTTATGTTATTGGAAAGATTGTGCTTTCTTTGCGGTCAACTGGTCTTAACACTTTCTGAGAGCCGTTGTGGTTACTTGGGGTTTTATCTGTGACCTCGGGGTCACCTGAATCCGAGGTGTGGAATCCCCACGTCTGTGTTTGCATTAACATGAAACCATGGACTCCCATTTTTCTGGGTTCCATAACTGCAGGTTGTGCAATCGTATACAGGTAGTGAATGACCACAATTGAGTCCCAAATATATGTTTTTAACTGAAACATTTGTTCGTGTGAGTTTTGGCTCATTCTACAACTTTTCTTGCCACAGTTGTGAATGTGGAATCACTGCAGGTGTTAAATTAGTAACGGTTAAGTCACGCTTCCCTATGACAGCTATTGTGGTTTAGGCATTAGGGTGTTGACTGGCCCTAGGGAGCAGTGATGGGATTCAAAAATTGTTTACTACCGGTTCTGTGGTTGTGGCTTGGTGGGCATTGCAGGGGAAGGTTACTGCATTCCCACCCCACTCCTGGAAGAAGGTTACTGCAAAATCCCCATTCCCTCCTTACCCCACTAACCTGATTTCCAGCTCCGTTCTCCTGTGCAGGGCAACCAAAGAAGACCCAGCCAATCAGCTGGGACTCGGGAGGCGGAGAAGAGATGGGATTGGCGGGGCCAGTCAGAGGCGGTATTGGCTGGTTCTCCGCACTATTCAAAATTTCCGCTACCGGTTCTCCAGAACTGGTCAGAACCTGCTGAATTCCACCTCTGTTTGGGAGGTTCTCATCTGCCCTCAGCCATGGAAACTCCTTTGATGTCTTTGGCCAGCCCTCTTAGCCTCAGCCTATATTTTACAGGGTTATTGCTGTTGGTCTGAGGAATTCTGGGAGTTGAAGTCCACAAGTCTTAAAAGTTGTCAGGTTTGGAGATGCCCTGCTGTAGGGAAAAAAGGAAAAGAAGCACTGTGTAATAAACCTCCTTGAGATCCTGAAGGAAAAACGGGATATAAATCTAATAAGAAATAGGTATTGTATTGAAGGGAAGTCTGCCTTTAATGGAGTAATTGTTCCCCATCTGTAAGTTATACACAGTTTGTTCAGTGTAAGATCTCTGATACGAGAAAAAGGTGACTTTTTTTAGTACCAGGTTTCTCATCTATTTTAAAATTCCCTGCAACTCAAGAGAGTTGGAAATCTGCCTTTCTTGAAATGAACGAGAATTGGATTTGAAGGCCTGGCCAGGCTCTGCTAAACAAGGTCTGAAATGAATATGGTTAGGTTCTTCGTGACAAGGAAGCGTTTGTTTACAAAAGGCTAAGAGGCAAAATGTCAACTATTTGAATTTCTTATTCTAAAACTTTTTTTTCTCTTTTGTTTTCCTTAGGCAGTGAGATACGATAATCATTATACCAACACAAAGTATTGCTTGTGCCAGATGTTAAGGGAGCAATTAGAAAACGCACAAGGAAAGAAGCTGCATGCCGCACAGTCCTTGCAGGAAATCTGGTAGGAGTGTTTTCATGCTTTTCATTTTAATTAAAGTGTCCCTGGATAAAGCCAACAGCAAATGTGTTAAAATATTTGTTAAAAGTTTTTAATACAAAAACTTTTGTTTAAATCTTATTTTAATGCATGCCCACTGCCATTGCTGGAAGAAAACATTCCATTTATTAAAATAATTCTAATCTTCATATCACTGATGGAATTTAATCTTAGCTTACTCTTCTTATTTCATATTATTCAAAGTAATATAAACACCTAATGTAAAATTATCAAGAGGAGTTCTTTTGAGCACCACTTGTGTAGTTTGTATATGTATTAAATTTATATGCTGCCCATCTTGCCCAGAGGCAGCTTACAATGAAGTAAAAACAACAAGGTAAAACATTGAAATATTCAAATAATATTTCACGTTAACATTAAAATTGATGTTAGCTTTTTTTTGTCGGAAAACCCCCAAAGACCTGAAAAGCTTAACAATAGAATAGAATAGAATAGAATAGAATAGAATAGAATAGAATAGAAT